CCGAGGAAGGATCCGCGACAGATTTATAAATGTCCGGCAAAATTATTTCTTATTGCAGCGATCATAATGTACGTCTTCATAGCAAATCTTATTTGCCTGTTGTTAACTTCACGTATACGATTATTGTTGGGGAACGCTAGCTCACGAGCTTACATAAGTATAAGTTCAAAAGGCAAGAGCAGTTAATAATTAAGTGATCATGACGGATTCTAGCTTGTCTACTTAGTAAATCTGGCTCAGCAGTCAACTTATTGCCTCAGAATTGGTAGAATTCATACGTTGCAGTAACCGGATGAGTCAATTGACCGGAGTTTTATTATAAATTCTTGCTGGCGGAGAAGCCTTGTAGCTCAGCAGTTTAAGATATTTACTTCGTCCCTACAGTCATGGTTTCGAATGTCGTCAAGGCCGCTGTTTTTTCAGAAAAATCCTCATTCATAACAGCGAACAACAACGTAAGGTAGAAGGCGCTAGGTGTTTATAAAAGCCTAAATTTTAAAAGGAAGGTATTTCCCTATAAATGGAAAGTGTTATTTTTCACGAACATCTGAAACAAAATTGATCCGCTTATTCGGTAAACTTAAATTAATAAACAATTTTTTAAACATATGAGGTGCGTTAAATAAATGGGGATAACTGTCCGATCATTGGCTATAGCCGTAAATTGATCACAAACTGATACAGCATCATCGAAAATACCGGATTATGCAGAAAATATGATGCTTCACAGACATCTAAGCGGATTAAGATTACGACGCATTCCGGTAGTATAAAAGACTAGTTTAAGCGAATCCCTCTTAAGAAATCAAAGGCATTCCCTCGGAAGAAGAATCCGAGATTAACTGTAACAGGCCAAGTCCATATTCTCCCAAACGACAGATTTGGGCCAGTATTATAAGACGGCCCTAAGCAAAGATCACATGTGGAAAAAATTATTTGATGACTTTCTATCTAAGGTCTCTTGTAATACGATATTCATAGTAACAATGGGTTTCACGCGTGATGAATGTGGTGCCGATTGATTAAACAGATGAAAACAGCAACGTTACCCTTCACTTTGCCAATACTCCAGAAAGACTGAAAGGGAAGGAGAGTGCAACTTATAACATGGCTTAAAAGCAGAGTTTGCTCGAACTGAATACAATGAAGCCGAATGTTCTCGCTGGAGAAAGCAGATTCTGTAATGAGGAACCAAGTGATGAACCTCGAACACCAAATTTCTAAGGCAAGGTCAAAACCTTAACTCTAAAGCATAACCGAAACCCCCTCATTAACAGGTCTAACCATAACGCTAAGCTCCAACACTGATCCAAATCACACAACCCTCACCTGTTTGACTACTCACTTACCCCTTCCCATAAACGTGAAACGTTATCCTAAGCCATAGACCATAACCTCATTAACTATCCCCCCCCCCTTCCACTTACATCCCATTCCATTAACCGGAAAACGCTTCCCTACACGAACCGTAAATCTTGACTCAACATTTAGCGACCAAACGAATGCAAGCCTAAACATGATACACATAACTTAATCAAACAAGTGTGTCCTACAGTAATAAAATCACTTAATATGCATACTAAATCATCCCCGAAGATTTAAAATAGAGAAGGTGATACCGAATGATCCACCATACCTTCATTGTACCTTAAAATCTAAATAATCTGTTCCTGCAGCCCTCTAGCATTTAAGAGGCAGCCTATGTAGCAGGTTTGAACGAAATATTTTGTGAAACATTGATTGTCTAGACAAATATTTATAGGCGGTGGCTTAACGTATATTTAAGGCCTTTCACTTTACTCATTTTATTGAATTCATGGGGGGAATGCTGATTACTAGAAGGTAGCTCACTTCAAAACAGCATTTTGAGTGAAAAAGTAGGCTAACGTGGACAAAATCTAGCGTTTCTTGGAATTCACGAAATTTCCTACGTTATTAAACGCTGCGGATTACAATGTCTTGCTTACGCGCATTGCAATAAAAGAAACTGACATATGCTAAAGAGGCGGAGAACGGAGAACGGAATGCTTCGTTTTGTCTTCATCAAAATCAGGTAAATGTCAGTAGGAGAAAACGAATGTTTACGGAGGAAGAAGAACGGATTCTAATTGGCAGACCTGGTACGTTTTATGTCAAACATTACGCAAAAGAATTGTGCAGGTCTAGTTTGCTTTATCACAGAGGAAATAAAAACCGTAAAGAACATATATATGAACGTCCGCGACATGCTGTCACAATTCTCTGTCACGTCGTACGCCAAAGATTTGAAACATTATATTTGCATTTATTAGTCATAGATCAGCATGTCAACCTGTTGACCTGGTGCAAAAACCTGGTTGCCTTAGTCCAGTGAACTCCAATCAATTTACATGGTGAAGAAACAACTAGCGATTCTTGTGCAATTAGTTGGATTACATACTCAAACTTCGAGCAGTTCAGTAGCGGCCGCACTTTATATTGCGCATAATTTTGAATCATGTTTCTCCAAAAAAATCAAACAAACATTAATTTCAAATGTGGACTTTGTGTGGCCTAGTTCCCGCGGTATTTTGCATAAACAGACTTGCTCTACATTTAAAGCTCAAGCTTACTAAGTAACTGAGGTTCTTCACTTTTTTGGAATTAACTGTTTTCTAAAAAATATATTTCAAAACGTCTAAATATTACGTGCTAGGCCATAATGTGTCTTCTTTTTAATAACTATAATTACATTACTGATGTAAGGCTTTGCGGTAAGCAGCTTGGACTGCTTTTACGTGCAGACATTTTTTGTAAAGTCCTTGGATTTCACGAGATAGGTAATCGACCGTACGCTATTTGAAAACTAAACACCGGTTCGTCTGTTTTGCGCTAGTGGATGAATCGACATCCGCACCAGTTTTAACATATGCATATGCAATTTTCATGATTCTTTGTTGTGATTTGTTTACAAAAATGTGATTCTGCGGAAATATACCTCCTAATGAATAAATTAAAGCAAGTTAATAATACATCCTATATGGTAATCCAAATTTCAGATATTTACTGCGGCTGAACCGAGAATACCAAAATAAATGACAGTGACCGTGACGTGGAAACAATTCATCGTAAAGAGTCAAGCATGAAACACATAATTCTCAAATGTTAGGCATATATTTCACGCAGGAGTGGCATTGTTGACCTTGTTGGGGGTGGAGAAATGCTGTTCTATGTAACCACTTAACCCACTTGCTCCTACATGGCCAATGATATAGCCGCTTAGGCAGTTAGGCAGCAAACATAAATAACACATGAACGTCTCTTCATGGGATGACATAAGGCAACAATCCACGCTGGTTCGCGTGAAACTTTTTCTTTCTCCTTTGTTCTTGAAGTCGTCAACCAGGCAAAATGCGAAGGTACTGACAAGTCAACATGCGTATACGGATGTAAGACAAGATCCCTGTATTCTACTGATATCAATATTTTGCAGCTGCTATGTTAATAGGATTTAGGCTCAATGCAACAACTTGTCTCTGACACTTAATCCATATTGAAAAAAACTACAAAACAGCATTTACGATATTCGATGTTGCTGCCACTTTTTGAATGGTTCTGTTATAAATAGCTAAAGATTCAAAAAGGTATACATTTTTCAATATGTAAAATATTTCGGTTTAAATATTCGAATGTTAGTTATCACCTCTAGTTTCACTTCTTTTCTAAAACATTCAGACAATGGTTGCTAAACCTAGCGTTTATTAACGTTTTAGAAACTTCTCAAAATGAAGGTAAACTATCAGCCCCCATTTCTGCCTCTGTTTGTGCGGACTTTATCAGCGGGGAAACATTTAATAAATATTTGACGTTTTTCTTTCGAATTAATGATTTTTTATAGGTATCGCAGGCTTTGAAAGAGCCAGTGCTATAGAACTTCTGGGCAAATCACTTTGCGACTTCAGTGTCCGTCACGGCCTTAAGTATTCATATGCATTTTTTTCACTTTTATTTTTTTAGCTCAATCTTTCGAGGGAACAGATATGTGATAATAACTCCAAGCTTTTTAAAATAAACATGCTACTTAAGATAAACCTTTGCAAGACGCACGCTGTAATTCTAAGTATATCACTTGAATGGGTGCTAATGCAACTTCAGACTTACTAATGCGAAGCAGACTGTGCACTTTTATGCAACGACTATGGTATAAAATGGAACACCGAGATTTTCTGTATAACTTGATTTGTGCTTATTTGTTTCTAAGCACGAAATTACTTTTCATTTGTTGGTGCTGCTGGTAGGCTCTCTCAGATAAATGGAAAAAACTGGAGTGTGTAATTTAAAAAAGGTTGTTGCGCACATATTTTAAATAACTTAAGAATTATGCTTTAATGCTTTATTTAATGTTGCCATGTAAATTATATGCTACGATCTAGTTTGACTATCGAGAGGAACAGATTAACGAGTAAGTTACGTTAGGCATTTGAAGATGTCAACGTCTTTTTGTTCTTTATTTTTTATTGTCTAGAGCCAAAAGGAATTGAACTAAAATGTGTAAGCTCTGTATTTAATTCTTATCGAGTAAGGATAGTGTAAGCTGTAAATGAAGTGAAGCCTATGACAGGGTAACAATTTAACCACTAAGTGACTGTGACGCTTAACTAGCCACCTTATGCGGTCGATCGCGAGGGAGCATTAGAGAAGAGCGATGGTAACCTCAGTTGACCGGGAAATTTAGGCGATTTTGGTTGGCTGTTCTTTGGCCTTGGACTGCTCTGGGATGGCGTCTCACGGCGACCAATCAAAATCCCCTCCGGCCAAGAATACGCGATGTTTGACTTGAGCAGCGTTCATGACAGGATGTACGCACGCATGCGCCCAATACACCATTTACAGAGGTTCTAGGTGCCTTTCCGAGCGATATTTGCGCAGTGTTTGTGGCGTTTTCAAAAACAATTCCGACTTGCCTGTTCCTGAAACCACTGGCATGAAATAGCCAGGTCATTTTATTGTCCAGACAGATCATCGACTCATCGTGAACTGACATGGCCGGCTTTATTGCCAAACAGCTTATTGGAAATCAGCTTGAATCTGTTAAAGGTGAGTGCCTATTTTTGTCCAACATATGGTACATGTGTCCTCGTGTGCTTTTAATGAATACAGCTTACTTAATAAACACACCACGATGCCCGCATTAAAATGCATGCAAAACAAATAATAAAAGATATCTAGTAAATGCCATTTCACAACTTTTATTTTAGCAATATTGGCTGTCTTTTTAGAGTTTAAGACTCGAGATACAGACGAGAAATGATTAATCCTCGCTTAGTCCTATATATATATGAAAGTAATGCATTAAACCAAAATTTGCTGGACGGAGCGTTAATGCCAAATATATGCTTAAGTATTAAAAGAATTGAACCTATAGGATTTGACATATCGTTCTAATAGTAAGGAGATGGCTGCCAAATGATGCTAATTCGTTCTTAAATGTTCCTATCCCCAGTGTATATGTGATTTTAACTTTTTCAAAGAAAACGGAATCAAACAGCTCGCAGTTTAATGACTTGCATACTTTGATTCCGCTCGTGAGAGTGTGAAACACAGACTGAACCGCATGCTATGAATCCCCTTTTCGCTAAATTTTATTCCAGGGGCACTTGGGGACAAGAAGGATGAGGGAGGATCTTCGGGAGCTAAACAGCTTGACCCCGAAGTAGAGGAGGCGCTGAGAGAGGCAGAGCAACGGCGCCAAGAGAAGCATCGCAAAATGGAAGAGGAGCGTGAAGTTATGCGTCAAGATATACGAGACAAGGTAAGAATAATTTTAAAGCAAATTAGTTTGCTAAAATAAAGAATTCTCATAATATGTGGGATAAAAGTCTATCACTTACACCAATCCGTTATTTAAGCTTAACATATAAGTAGATTTTGTAAGTTCATAGACATTGTGTTTCCCTTCCCAACAATTTTCTTCTGTTGATCTAGTGGTATTACTGTTTTGACATCTTAACTAATTCGCTAAGATCGCCTAAAGTAAAGAGCAACACATAAGAATTTTCCTTCTATTAATACGGTTAGTCTACTATATACGATAAGGTGTTCATTGTCTGTAAACTTTAATGTGACACATTTTTCAAGTGCATGGGACGGAGGACAATTTTTTAACAATATTAACTGAATTTCAATTTTGGGCAATGAGCATAAGAAATTTTTTATGGATTAATATCTCTAAGAAATGCATTATGCAGTGCAGTGTCCAGACGAACACGCTGCTATGACTTACAAAAAAATTATTTTATAGCAAATATACTTTCTGTAGTATGCAATATATTTTCTTATACTTATATTATTTCATTTTATTTATAGTACGGAATAAAGAAGAAGGAAGAAGAAATAAACTTTGACGAAATTATGATGGGTAACGACGGGCGGCTTGGAAGAAAGCGTAAAACACCGGCCGAACTCGCTGCAGAGGCAGACAAAGCAGCTGAAGGCGAGGATTCATTATTGGGTAAGGTTACTGAAAACATGAAGTGCTTATATCCAGTACGCATTACCCCTTTTGTCTCACAAGCGAATTTTACTTGGAAAGAACTGTTTGGACTGTCACAGCTCAGCCTTTGTCGTAAAAAAGATAAAAATATTATTTTCCCATGCTTTCTATGGCATATTAAATCGGTTGCACATAACTCGGTGCTTTTTATTGCATTTACTGAACAGATGACGCGCATGACCCGCAATGATACGTTTTAACATTAATACACTTCGTTCAATAACAAAAGGTACAAGAGGTGTAATTCCTGCAACAATTGTCAAACCAGGAATAGACTTAAGATACAGTTAAGTAAATTATACACAAATGCAAATGTTTTACACCAAACGTTTGCAAATCGCAATATCTGACTCAGTTAAAAGTCCATGGTAAGCCTATATTCAATATTCACTACATGGGTATATGAAAATAAACCTGATAAAAAGACCAAAATATGTCCTTGCGTTCTTGGTAAACGGGGAACAGTGCACTTTAAAGTGCATTGATGTCGGACCTTTTAAGCCTTTTTACAAGGACAGTACTCTACTGATGTTGCTTTGAGCTCTTTGATTTTTAATGTTATTAGAAATGGATTTTAAAACTTCGAGGACAGATTAGTTGTCAAAGATGCAATACTGCTGTTTTGCATGAGTCTAAACTATACGATTAATATAGTCCTTGATATAAGCTACTTAAATATAATAAAGGGATGATGAGGGTAATTATTATCCGTTATCCTATTCCAAAACGGATGCCAACTACTTTTTAGTTTTAACATTGAATATTATTCTGCCTCTAAAAATGATAAAGGTGCTTAAAAGACGTCATCGCACATGTCGGTCAGGGAATTGATGATTCTATTTTTATTCTAATAGGCAACATAATAGTGACTCCCAAAAACTCTAAGACTAAAAGTGAGTACTCCCTTTAGTTGTATGATACAATCGTGCACATCGTTAGCACAAAACTCGTCCTATATATACATCTTTAACTTAATTTCTTTTCACCCAAATGTGAAATACTCGAAGGCCTCAGTGGAATGTGCCCACACACCAGCAATGAAAGATGTACAGCCAACGCTCCATCCAACTGGGCTATAAAGGCACCACTGGAAGATGTGTGTTTAACAACACTTGGGTCGTGAGTAGATTTAAATTCCTAATGCTGCTTAAAAGCAGTCGATACTTCTTTCACTTCGACCAGAATCCATGTTCAGCGGATCGAAATACTCAGATGCACGATAATTCAATTTTCAATGTAATTGCACTGCTAAAACAGGCTATTTCTGTTAAAACCACGATACTCAACTTACTTTTTATGTGGTGAAGCTCAACATGCGGACAAAAACTAGACGACATGTACACGGACATAAACAATTGTCTTCGTTATAGTGTTTTTAAGTTTTCCACGTGACTGGCGAAAATATCACTTTACGGTTGAGTATTTTATATTATATTCAATATTTTATATTTATGTTAAAAATTGCGGGGACTCAAACATAAAAATAAGGAAATGACTATGAACGTAAGCGACAATGGTTCTGGTGAATGGCGTCAAATGCCACCTCTTTGGAAGGGAACTACTCACTGTTTCGAAATGCGTCTTATATCTTCGTACTTACGGTCCTTTACAGTTAAAATGATTTTAGGTATTTAGTTCAAATATGCTTATCAGGTAGGATACATTACATGCACTCTATTTTTGCATTCGTCGCTAGCCACAGCACTTACGCAACTGTATCTAAATTGGAGTTTTGTTTCAGTATATCCATTCGGCTGGTTAGTGTTATGAAACGAAATCTGTATCATCTTTCTATATGACAAAATAATTTTCACCTGAAAGCTAATGATCGTTTTGAGCACTCGTTGTTTGTACACTTTAATGTAACAAATGAGGAAGTTGCGTAAATTGGCTTAAGTGCAGGTTTGTTCGAATGTTGCACCAAACTTATTACTACATCTAATGGTATGCATTTTGAACTTCGGTAAAAGAGAATTTACACCATATTCTTTACAAATACCCAGGTTTTCTTCCGGAGAATGTCCGCGGAATCGCAAACAAAGTCACTGAAACTCCGTCAAAGCTTATTTCCGAAGCCTCAGAGAAGTGCTCGATATCTTGAAGTCCCCAGATTATGCATTTACTTACTTCTCAACCCAAGGTGACACTTAATATGTGATAAAGCTAGATCTTAGAGGTCATTTTATTTATTCAAATGTTTCCCATATATTGTTTCACTTTTGTACTAGATCTAACTTGCACTCAATTCCAAACAGTCGTCTATGTGCTTAAATCAGCTAAAAGTGTTTTTTTCTTTTCAAATCCATT